TTCCTGGATCTGTTGACTTGCCAGGTTCTGGATACCTTCCAGGTTCTGTTGCCCTCCAAGGTTCATCTGCCTTTCCAGGTTCCCCAGACTTTCCTGGATCTGTTGTCTTGCCAGGTTGTGGATACTTTCCAGGTTCTCTAGGTCTCCAAGGTTCATCAGACTTTGGTGAATCTGTTGACTCGCCAGATTGTGGATACTTTCCAGGTTCTGGCAATTTTCCAGGTACTCTTGATTTTCCAGGTTCTGGATACTTGCCAGGTTCTGCTGACTTTCCGGGATCTGGATATTTTCCTGATTCTGGCAATTGTCCAGGTACTCTTGATTTTCCAGGTTCTGTATACTTGCCAGGTTCTGCTGACTTTCCGATCATCTGGCTATTTTCCCTGATTCTGCAAATTGTCCAGGCTCTTGACTTCCAGGTTCTACCCTTTCCAGTTCTTGTGGCCCCAAGGTTCACTGTGACTTCCCTGACCTGCTGGGACTTTCCAGGCTCCTGGACAGCTCTTCCAGGTTCTTTTAGGCCTCCCAACGCTTCACTGTGACTTTCCCTGGGATCTGCTGACTTCCAGGTTCTGGATACTTGTGTTCTTAGCTTCCAACGCTCACTGTGACTTTCTCCTGGTTCTGTTGACTTTCCTGGTTCTGATACTTTCTGACTGGGTACCTTTTCCAGGTTCCTGGACTTTCCAGGCTCCTGGATACTTGCCAGGTTCTGTTGACTTTCCAGGTTCTGGATATTTTCCTGAGTCTGGCAATTTTCCTGGTTGCCCAGACTTTCCTGGTTGCCCAGTCTTTCCTGGTTGCCCAGACTTTCCTGGATCTGTTGACTTGCCAGGTTCTGGATACCTTCCAGGTTCTGTTGCCCTCCAAGGTTCATCTGCCTTTCCAGGTTCCCCAGACTTTCCTGGATCTGTTGTCTTGCCAGGTTGTGGATACTTTCCAGGTTCTCTAATCCTCCAAGTTTCATCAGACTTTCCTGAATCTGTTGTCTTCCCTGGTTCAGGATACTTTCCAGGTTCTCTTGGCCTCAGAGGTTCATCAGACTTTCCAGGATCTGTAGACTTGCCAGGTTGTGGAAACCTTCCAGGTTCTATAGGCCTCAAACGTTCATCAGACTTTCCTGGTTCTGTTGACTTTCCTGGTTCTGGATACTTTCCAGATTCTGGTAATTTTCCAGGTTCTCTTGACTTTCCAGGTTGTGGATACTTGCCAGGTTCTGTTGACTTTCCAGGTTCTGGATATTTTCCTGATTCTGGCAATTTTCCTGGTTGCCCAGACTTTCCTGGATCTGTTGGCTTGCCAGGTTCTGGATACCTTCCAGGTTCTGTTGCCCTCCAAGTTTCATCTGCCTTTCCAGGTTCCCCAGACTTTCCTGGATCTGTTGTCTTGCCAGGTTGTGGATACTTTCCAGGTTCTCTAGGTCTCCAAGGTTCATCAGACTTTGGTGAATCTGTTGACTCCCCAGGTTGTGGATACTTTCCAGGTTCTCTAATCCTCCAAGGTTCATCAGACTTTCCTGGTTCTCTTGAATTTCCTGGTTCTGGATACTTTCCAGACTCTGGCAATTTTCCAGGTACTCTTGATTTTCCAGGTTCTGTAGACTTGCCAGGTTCTGCTGACTTTCCGGGATCTGGATATTTTCCTGATTCTGGCAATTGTCCAGGTTCTCTTGACTTTCCAGGTTCTGGATTCTTTCCAGGTTCTCTAGGTCTCCAAGGTTCATCAGACTTTCCTGGATCTGTTGACTTTCCAGGTTCTGGATACTTTCCAGGTTCTTTAGGCCTCCAACGTTCATCAGACTTTCCTGGTTCTGTTGACTTTCCTGGTTCTGGATACTTTCCAGATTCTGGTAATTTTCCAGGTTCTCTTGACTTTCCAGGTTCTGGATACTTGCCAGGTTCTGTTGACTTTCCAGGTTCTGGATATTTTCCTGAGTCTGGCAATTTTCCTGGTTGCCCAGACTTTCCTGGTTGCCCAGTCTTTCCTGGTTGCCCAGACTTTCCTGGATCTGTTGACTTGCCAGGTTCTGGATACCTTCCAGGTTCTGTTGCTCTCCATGGTTCATCTGCCTTTCCAGGTTCCCCAGACTTTCCTGGATCTGTTGTCTTGCCAGGTTGTGGATACTTTCCAGGTTCTCTAATCCTCCAAGGTTCATCAGACTTTCCTGAATCTGTTGTCTTCCCTGGTTCAGGATACTTTCCAGGTTCTCTTGGCCTCAGAGGTTCATCAGACTTTCCAGGATCTGTAGACTTGCCAGGTTGTGGAAACCTTCCAGGTTCTATAGGCCTCAAACGTTCATCAGACTTTCCTGGTTCTGTTGACTTTCCTGGTTCTGGATACTTTCCAGATTCTGGTAATTTTCCAGGTTCTCTTGACTTTCCAGGTTCTGGATACTTGCCAGGTTCTGTTGACTTTCCAGGTACTGGATATTTTCCTGATTCTGGCAATTTTCCTGGTTGCCCAGACTTTCCTGGATCTGTTGACTTCCCAGGTTCTGGATACCTTCCAGGTTCTGTTGCCCTCCAAGGTTCATCTGCCTTTCCAGGTTCCCCAGACTTTCCTGGATCTGTTGTCTTGCCAGGTTGTGGATACTTTCCAGGTTCTCTAGGTCTCCAAGGTTCGTCAGACTTTGGTGAATCTGTTGACTCCCCAGATTGTGGATACTTTCCAGGTTCTAGCAATTTTCCAGGTACTCTTGATTTTCCAGGTTCTGGATACTTGCCAGGTTCTGCTGACTTTCCGGGATCTGGATATTTTCCTGATTCTGGCAATTGTCCAGGTTCTCTTGACTTTCCAGGTTCTGGATTCTTTCCAGGTTCTCTAGGTCTCCAAGGTTCATCAGACTTTCCTGGATCCGTTGACTTTCCAGGTTCTGGATACTTTCCAGGTTCTTTAGGCCTCCAACGTTCATCAGACTTTCCTGGTTCTGTTGACTTTCCTGGTTCTTGATACTTTCCAGATTCTGGTAATTTTCCAGGTTCTGTTGACTTTCCAGGTTCTGGATACTTGCCAGGTTCTGTTGACTTTCCAGGTTCTGGATATTTTCCTGATTCTGGCAATTTTCCTGGTTGCCCAGACTTTCCTGGATCTGTTGACTTGCCAGGTTGTGGATACTTTTCAGGTTCTCTAGGTCTCCAAGGTTCATCAGACTTTGGTGAATCTGTTGACTCCCCAGATTGTGGATACTTTCCAGGTTCTCTAATCCTCCAAGGTTCATCAGACTTTCCTGGATCTGTTGTCTTTCCTGGTTCTGGATACTTTACAGGTTCTCTAGTTCTCCATGGTTCACCAGACTTTCCTGGATCTGTTGACTTGCCGGGTTCTCTAGGCCTCCATGGTTCATCAAACTTTCCCGGTTCTGTTGATTTTCCTGGTTCTGGATACTTTCCAGATTCTGGCAATTTTCCAGGTTCTCTTGACTTTCCAGGTTCTGGATACTTGCCAGGTTCTGCTGACTTTCTGGGATCTGGATATTTTCCTGATTCTGGCAATTGTCCAGGTTCTCTTGACTTTCCAGGTTCTGGATTCTTTCCAGGTTCTCTAGGTCTCCAAGGTTCATCAGACTTTTCTGGATCTGTTGACTTTCCAGGTTCTGGATACTTTCCAGGTTCTTTAGGTCTCCAAGGTTCATCAGACTTTCCTGGATCTGTTGACTTTCCAGGTTCTGGATACTTTCCAGGTTCTTTAGGCCTCCAACGTTCATCAGACTTTCCTGGATCTGTTGACTTTCCAGGTTCTGGATACTTTCCAGGTTCTCTAGGCCTCCAAGGTTCATCAGACTTTGGTGAATCTGTTGACTTCCCAGGTTGTGGATACTTTCCAGGTTCTCTAATTCTCCAAGGTTCATCAGACTTTCCTGGATCTGTTGACTTGCCAGGTTGTGGATAATTTCCAGGTTCTCTTGGCCTCCAAGTTTCATCAGACTTTCCTGGATCTGTTGACTTTCCAGGTCCTAAATACCTCCCAGGTTCTCTAGGCCTCCAAGGTTCATCTTCATCAGACCTTCCTGGATCTGTTGTCTTTCCTGGTTCTGGATACTTTGCAGGTTCTCTAGTTCTCCATGGTTCACCAGACTTTCCTGGATCTGTTGACTTACCGGGTTCTCTAGGCCTCCAAGGTTCATCAAACTTTCCTGTTTCTGTTGATTTTCCTGGTTCTGGATACTTTCCAGTTTCTGCTGACTTTCCAGGTTCTGGATATTTTCCTGTTTCTGGCAATTTTCCTGGTTGCCCAGACTTTCCAGGTTCTCTCGGCCTCCAAGGTTCATCTGTCTTTCCAAGTTCCCCAGGCTTTCTTGGGTCTGTTGACTTGCCAGGTTCTGGATACTTCCCAGGTTCTCTAGACCTCCAAGGTTCATCAGACTTTCCTGGATCTGTTGACTTTCCTGGTTCAGGATACTTTCCAGGTTCTCTAGGCCTCCAAGGTTCATCAGACCTTCCTGGTTCGGTTGACTTTCCAGGTTCTAGATATTTTCCAGGTTCTCTAGGCCTCCACGGTTCATCAGACCTTCCTGGACCTATTGACTTTCCAGGTTGTGGATACTTTCCAGGTTCTCTTGATCCCCATGGTTTATCTGACTTTCCTGAGTCTGGATACTTTCCAGGTTCTCTAGGCCCCAAAGGTTCTTCAGACTGTCCTGGATCTTTTGACTTGCCAGGTTGTGGATACTTTACAGGTTCTCTTGGCCTCCAAGGTTCATCAGACCCTTCTGGATCTGTTGTCTTTGCTGGTTCTGGATACTTTCCAGGTTCTCTAGTTCTCCATGGTTCACCAGACTTTCCTGGATCTGTTGACTTGCCAGGTTGTGGATACTTTCCATGTTCTCTTGGCCTCCAAGGTTCATCAGGCATTCTTGGATCTGTTGTCTTCCCTGGTTCTGGATACTTCCCAGGTTGCCTATGCCTCCAAGGTTCATCAGACTTGCCTGGATCTGTTGACTGGTCAGGTTGTGGATACTTTCCAGGTTCTCTTGGCCTCCATGGTTCATCAGACCTTCCTGGTTCTGTTGACTTTCCAGGTTCTAGATATTTTCCAGGTTCTCTAGGCCTCCAAGGTTCATCAGGCATTCCTGGATCTCTTGTCTTCCCTGGTTCTGGATACCTCACAGGTTGCCTAGGCCTCCAAGGTTCATCAGACTTGCCTGGATCTGTTGACTGGTCAGGCTGTGGATACTTTGCAGGTTCTCTTGGCCTCCATGGTTCACCAGACTTTGCTGGATCTGTTGACTTACCTGGTTCTGGATACTTTCCAGGTTCTCTAGGCCTCCAAGGTTCATCTGTCTTTCCAGGTTTCCCAGACTTTCCTGGTTCTGAATACTTTCCAGGTTCTCTAGGCCTCCAAGGTTCATCAGACTGGACTGGATCCGTAGACTTGCCAGGTTCTGGATACTTTACTTCACTAGGCCTCCAAGGTTTTTGATATTTTCCAGGTTCTCTAGATGTCCATGGTTCATCAGCCTCTCCAGAAGTTGGTGATGATGAAGGGAATATAAATGATCCATGCCATGGTCCATGTTTATAAGATCTAATTCCATTCTTCATAGACTCATCATAGCTGTCCATTCCCAGTACCTTTTCTATTTCAACCTCTCCTCCTTCCTCAGGTAGTATTCCTGCATGGATAGCAGCTCTGCATATTGAAGAATCCTAAGCAAGAGAGCAGAATTAAAGTAAAAAGCTTAAAATTCTCAAAATGGTATAGATATTAATCTTGAATTTTGTATCTAATGGAGCAATAATCCATACCTTTAAAATTAGCCTATTTCATTTATTTTGTATTGTTCTGCTCTGCTGATTAGGTCGGAGCATATACCTAAATCATAGACTGCAATTCATGGTAACCACGAAAGGAGAAATAGAACAGGCAATATGAATTTGCCCATTTTAAATTAGGCAACATTGGTATCACAACTGTTAATATGGTAAGTGAATACATAATAATACAATTATATAAAAACACTTGTTCAGTTTGGACCCCATACCACCTTCACTTTTATTTATGTCAGTTTGTGGCTAATGCACAAGTTAGTGTGGAGAATTTTTGTTAGTGTGGGGGAATTTTGTTTTTAATTTAACTTTAATGAGGTCATATGTATTGCTGCTGCCAAAAGTAATTGTCGAAGATAGATTGAATAATTTCAGGAATTACCATAATAGAATGCTATTATACACTAGGGTATTCATTTCATCAAAGTGTAGCTATCCAGGAAGTGGTGAACGACAAATCTGTATCTGAATCTGCTAACAACATTCACTTTATTTTCTTGTTACATATATTCAATACAGTCAGATGAGACAATAATTGAGATTACCTGTTGAGTTGCTGTGATTTGGAAAAAGATGATGTGGAAATATCATCGTATCATGTATGCAATGCTGTTTTGTTCTTAATTCTAATCTAGACATGATCCAAATCATGAATGAAATAATTTTTGGTTCCTTACCTCTGTATAGACTTTATATCCCCAAACACTATGTTTTTTAGTCTGACATCCAGGTGGGCATTTGATTCTAATGGTGAAGAAAATAAATATGATTCTCTCGATAGATTTTTCCTACTGAACAAAATATATTTTATGCTATCATTTATAATGTGAAAGATATTATCCCACATGTAATATGAAACTTACATTGCTTTAATTTCCTCCACGTCACTTGCAGTCAAAGAACATGGGGCTGATACTGGAAGGAGAAGAAACAATACATTTTATATTTATAGAATGTTTTTCTCCCTTTTCCATCTGCTCTCTTTTACTCTCAAACAATGATAATTTTACAAATGGTAACAATGCATAACTTGCAGTGAGCAAAATTAATTAATAGTGAGATGTTGGGATGCTAAGGTTGCACTCACTCAGCTAACATGAAGCATGTTGGTAGAAAAAGTAAAGCTTTGATTACTCAAATGAACCCACTTAACAACAGTTGATCATAATGAAGTATAACTTGACATAGTTTATTTGCTATTAAATAGACTTGTGTATGAGAAAATCATTTGTTTTGGTCTAAATACTTCTTAAAATACATTTTTCGGATGTCAGAATTTTGGCCATATGGTGTTTCGGCTTGACCAAAATTCATTAGCGGAAAAAGTTTGGGGAAAATGAAGCAGTTTGAAAAGGAAGCAAATATGGATATAAATATTGTGTATATATTTGCAATACACTGTTCGATGCATTTTCTTGCCATTTTGTTCATAGATCAAGTGAAAAAAGTAGGCCATCATTCATGTTTCATCATGGCAGTGTATCTGTCAGCATGTGTGTATGTACCAGTGTGTGTGTATCTGTCAGTGTGTGTATCTGATTGTGTGTATGTGTCAGTGTGTGTATCTGTGTGCCAGTGTGTATATATGTGTGTATATCTGTATGTCAGTGTGTGTATCTTCTAGAGTGTGTGTGTGTGTGTGTGTGCATGTGCCAGTGTGTGTATCTGTGTGTCAAGGTGTGTGTATCTGTATGCCAGTGTGTGTATATGTATGTCCGTGTGTATATATGTGTGCCAGTGTGTATTTGTGTGTCAGTGCATCTGTCAATATGTATGTGCCAGTGTGTATCTGTGTGTCAGTGTTTCTGTCATTGTGTGTGTCTGAGTGTGTCTGAGTGTGTGTATATGCGTGCCACTGTGTGTGTCTGTGTGTGTATGTGCCAGTGTATGTGTTTATGTGCCAGTGTGTGTGTACCGGCGTGTGTATGTGCCAGTGTGTGTATCTGTGTGTCAGTATGTATCTGCTGGTGTGTGTATCTGTGTTTGTATGTGCTAGTGTGTGTACCTGTGTGTCAAGGTGTGTGTATCGGTGTCAGTGTATGTCTCTGTGTGTGTATATGTGTGTTTCTGTTTGTTAATGTGTATGTATATCTGTGTATGTATGTGGCAGTGCATGTGTAGACATCCCAGCAATCAAACACCAACACAACACAACACACTCCCCTGCAAACACAAACATGACATACAAAGACGCCCCTGAACTCCAACTCCAAAATTACATACAAACACTCAAACAGCAATACTACACCCAAATATACATCCACATTTAAAATCCAACACTACATCCAAACACACCCCTGCATGCAAATGCAAACATTACATAAAAACACATCCCTGTATTAAAATACTTAAATTATATACAAACACCAACTCTACATACAGAAGCACACCTGCTCCTAAGTACTAAAATCTGATTATTATCTGTAGAAATTAGTGTGTATATATAGCAAAAAAAGAAAACATTACACTCTGCTAATTGAAAGTTTATGCTATGGCACAACATTTTGTTGGGGGGGGGGGGATTCCACAATGTTGAAACACTTTGTCAAAGGGTTCCACTGGAAAAATTAATTTGGAACCCCTGCCCTAAATAAATTAACATGTACAACCATTGCTTGGTTCATTTCTTTATGAATAAAGTTTAGGAATTTGTAGCTCAAATTTGGACAAATGTGTGTGTCTGCTTGCACAATGCTTTTGCTTGGACCCCACCCCCTCCCGTCACACTCCCTGGCATGCAATCATGCCCTCAACCCCAATGCAGTTGCGGAACTAAAATAGAGAGGGCCTTGTTGCAATAATTTTTGGGGGCCTTCCTATCGCAAGGGTGGCTAAAAGGTAGATCCCCATCTGTCATGCAACTCCAACAATGCTTTGACAGCTGGAGCTTTACCATTTTCCCATGCTTGCAGGGTTGTGTTTAGCACTGAGCAGTGTTTGTGTGTAAGAATGTTTTTGTACGGAGTATGTTTGCATGAATATAGGAGTTTGTTTCTATGTGGGGATTTGAATGCAAGCATGTATTTATGTGTATTGTTGATTTTTGAATGCAAAGGTGTGTTTATATATATATATATAATTTTAGTGTTTATTACAATGGTGTTTGTATGAAGTGTTGACATTTCAATGCAGGAGTTTGTTTGCATGTAGTATTGAAGCAGGGCTCGACACACCCCAGGTGCCAGGTCACCATGGCACCTAGGAATTTTTTCTTGGTGCCTGGGATATGTGAGCCCATTACCTCTGAGGCGGGCAGGAGGCCGGCTAGAGAATTGTCCTTAGTAAGGTCAGAGCCGGAATATGACGTCATATTCCAGCCCCGGCCTTACTAAGTGGCACGCAAGGGAGCAGAACAGGGACATCACAGCTCCCTCAAGGCATGCCTAATATTCGCGCAACCTGCCACCCGCCTCCACAAACTCCAGTATGCCCCTAGCATCCATAATCACAGCTCCCTCGCCGCCTGACAAAAATAGATGTAGCGAGCTGCCTGCCTCCACAAGCCCCCCAACATACTCGCCTCCTCCATAATCCCCCAGCATGGAGACTGTCTCCTCAATTCCCCAGCCGGCCTCCTGCCCACCTCAACGACCCTCCAGCAAGCCACCTGCCTACACAATCCCCCAGTTGGTTGCCCACTGGACCCCACAGGTATTAATACAAGCAATAGTGAATGTATGTCTGTCAGTTTGAGTGTATGTCTTTTATGTCTGTCATAGTGTGAGTGCATGGGTCTGTCTGTCATGGTGTGTGTGTGTGTGTCTGTCTGTCATGCTGTGTGTGTGTCTGTCAGTCATGATGTGTGTGTGTGTTTGTCATGGTGTATGTGTGTGTCTGTCTGTATCATGGTGTGTGTTTGTGTGTGTGTCTGTCTGTGCTATGGTGTGTTTCTGTCTGTCTGTGTCATTGTGTGTGTGTCATGGTATGTGTGTGTGTTTCTGTCTGTGTCACAGTGTCTGTCTGTGTCATTGTATGTGTGTGTGTTTCTGTCTGTATCATGGTGTCTGTCTGTGTCATATGATGTCTGTGTCGTGTGTGTGTCTGTCTGTGTCATGTTACGTGTGTGTAATGATGTATGTATTTAGGTGGCAAGATCCCTTCCGTTCACAAGGGAATGGTGTTTTTACTCACTTTTTTCCCCATGCCGTGCTGGTCTCCCCTCGACTGGCCCTGCTTCTGTGTTTGAGATTAGCAAGCTTGATGATCTCAGCCAATCCAATGTTTCCCATAGGATTGGCTGCAAAATGCTGCACCAATCAGCATCTCCTCATAGAGATGCATTGAACCAATGCATTTCTATGGAGAACATTCAGAGCCTCCACGAGGGGTGTGGATACGCTGAATGTAGGTGCAACACACTGTCACTAAGTAACTGTCACTAAAGGTGTCACTAGGAAGCGATGTAAATATTGCCTTTTCTCTGAAAAGGTAGTGTTTAACCCCTTAAGGACCAAACGTCTGGAATAAAAGGGAATCATGACATGTCACACATGTCATGTGTCCTTAAGGGGTTACATTGAAAAGTCAGCAGGGACAGGCTATACACACCAGAACCACTTCATTAAGCTGTAGTGGTCCTGGTGACTATAAGAATTAAGAATTGTATTTCTGTCATTGAATATAAAGCTTTGTAAGTTTAAAAAACAGCTGGCTGCTAGATTCAAAGCAAATTTGTCATGCCCTGGTATTAAAGTATGAATGAATTGTTAGTGTTTGAATGCTGTGATGTATGCACATTTACATATACACTGCCACATACACACTATGATACACATACACACAGATAAAAACACTCACACTGAAACACATGCAGAAACAAAGATATACACATTGTCACAATGCAGATATACAGACGCATATACACACACTGATCACATATAGATACACAGACTGACACAGATACAGACACACACTGATACACATATAGACACACAACCTGGCATACATGCAGATACAAACACTTACACGCATGCAGATACTCAGTCACACAGATACACACGGTGACACACATGCAGATACACACACTTACTGCATGCAGAAAAACACACAGATATACACATACAAAGAAACACATTCTGACAACATGCATACACACAGATGCACATACTGACAATATACAGATACACACACTGACAATATAAAGATACACACACTGACAACATACAGATACACAAACTGACAACATACAGGTACACAGATACACACACAATGACAACATACAGATACATACATACAGACATACAACCCGACATGCAGATACACATTCACACAGATAAACACTGACAAACATGCAGATACACAAATACAAACAATAATACAAATGTGCAGTGGTGCTAAAACCAAGTGCAGCTAAAAGACCACACAAGTGTGATGTCACTCCCATACTTAATATGTATGTAAACTAAAATAGATCAAGGTGGTTTGCGCACAAATTGGTATAAAACCTCACACACTATTGAGTAGGTATAAAGGAAATCAGGTCCCTCCAAGTGCTGTAGTTTTCTTGCACAGGTATTCAGGAACTAGTTGTGGTAAAATGAATTTTATATAACAAGTATAAATATATTGCACAACGTGTTTCGACCTTTCACCAGGTCTTCCTCAGGTGCATATGTAAAAACAATATACAGATTCCGTTTTATATAACTAACTAAATTACTAAACTGTGGCTCAGGTGCGTTAATTACGTCAATTTTTTTAAATATTATTAATCGCAACTGGCACATCTTAAGTCAGGACAACAAAAGTTGTTTATTGGCCAAAAACTGAAATTTGGCTTTAGGGAAGAAAACAATCTAAATCAAATTTTAACCTCTAGCTGTACAGAGAAGGAGAATAAAATTATTTTTTTTAACTGAATGATCAACTAACCAGAAAGTATTTTATCGCTGTGGAAATTGTAATGTGTGCAGAAATAGGAACACTATGAAGAAGGATAATAAAAGTTATCCTAATAAATAATAAATTAGTCACAAGTAACTAATAAAGAATATAACATTAAATCGCTAATTACTTGTCATTCTAATAATGTTACTTATTTATTGAAATGCAAGTGTGGCTTACATTATGTGGGCAAAACATCTCACCCCTAAAGACTAGAATTAGTGAGCACGTGAGGAATATTACAAATGGTGTTATTAATCACAGAGTATTGAAACACTTTTTAGAGGTGCATATTTCTAATCCTAAAGAACTTTATGGCCATAGACAAAAGTAATGGACATTGGAGAGGAGGGAACATTTCCTTCAATTTGGGAAAACAGGAAATAAAATGGATATTTGAATTGCACACACTGTTCCCGAAAGTATTGAATATTGATTTTGAAATAAACTCCATCCTTTGATATCTCCGAGTTTATCAATATCCTTTCCTTTTTACTCCTTTTTATGATTTTTCCTTCTTTTGATTTTTTCTTTTGTTTCCTTAAATCTTTTTATCTACTTTCTAGAGGTTTTAGGAATATTTTTGATATATTTTTTATAATTTTTCAAGAATTTGCATTATGTTTCATTAATATGAATTTTTATCATTGAATATGTCCTATCCCTATTATATTTTAGCTCTCTCCAGCATGTTAGAGTGTGATATTTAATATATAAATGCATCATTTTTTTTTTTTAATTCTTTACTCTCTTATATGTATCCATATGATTTCCCGATTTATGGACTCATCTGGCTTATATGAACTAAATCCTGATTGGGTTTTACCACCCGATTGAGTGAGACGAACTGTTTCAAAAGTACCCGTGCGGCCATCTTGATAATGGGCAATATGAACTAAGCCATGGCAGAAAACACGTCACAAGAAATCGACATGCAGCGGCAGGAAATACATCAGAGGAAACCAATGTGCCTCCATATTGGGGATGGCACGGATGGAATAAAGACACAGGATGGCAGTGGGAGGAGGAAGAGGATAGAACTCTTTGGAAAGTCCCAAAAATTGGACCAAATATGGTAAAGGGGGGAGGGGGGGGGGTTAGTTTGACTTAATTAAAGGGACACTATAGTCACCAGAACAACTACAGCTTATTGAATTTGTTCTGGTGAGTAGAATCATTACCTAGAGAATAGGACTAATGGGTTGCAGATTATAAACAATCTGCCTCCCAAAAAGACCTTGTATCCTTATATGAAAAAAGCTACTCTGCAATTATAAATATAAAAGTGGAGCGCAGAGAGCAAAAAACGAAAAACTCTTTATTAATCCCTCTTGGGGGAGAAACACACAGATGCTAAACAAACTCTTGTTTACAAGCTCTTGATAAAGGTGACTTGTTTCGCCGAAACGCGCGTTGAGCACTGCACTAAAGCGGATGATGATTTTAATTTAGGATTCTATTTTGTTTTCAGACTGTCCTATCATTTATTTATTTATGGTGGGATTAGATACTTGTCTATTACCAGCAAGATATTAGGGACTCCTTCCCCCAAATCTCCTACAGCTGTTTAGGCAGTTTGTTTAACATTTATATTGCTGGCTATTTAGACAGCAGGCTTTTTTCCTGCAATGTTGCAAACATATTCTGGTATATCTTTTGCACATATATATTCTTTTGTGTACCTGATATACTCTTTGTTCCAATTATAGAGTTCATTTACTTTTTCATTTAAAGATCTTCAGTTTGCTACATTTAGTGTATCTCCCCCCTTTGGTTAATTTGCTACTATTTATGGCAATTTTGCCACACACATACTTATAGCATTTCTTTTGACCATATTACTATTACTATTATTTTTGGACTAGTCGGTTCTATCTAATTAGATCCTAATTTTATTACTTGTTTGTTTAGCATCTGTGTGTTTCTCCCCCAAGAGGGATTAATAAAGAGTTTTTCGTTTTTTGCTCTCTGCGCTCCACTTTTATATTTATAATTGCAGAGTAGCTTTTTTCATATAAGGATACAAGGTCTTTTTGGGAGGCAGATTGTTTATAATCTGCAAGCCATTAGTCCTATTCTCTTTGTACTTCTAGGGGTTAGGCCCCATTGTATCTCTCAACCATCACAACCTGGCCGATGGATTTGTTCAATTCCTAACCAGTGCTGTGTTTCTTTCTTTAGAATCATTACCTTCATATTTTATTGCTGTAAACACTGCTTGTTTCAGAGAAAATGCAGTGTTTACATTATAGCCTAGTGATAACTTCACTGACCACTCCTTAGATGGCTGTTAGAGATCCTTCCTGAGTCATGGCTGCAAAAAATGCATCCAAACATTCTGTGTCTCCACCCTCTACATGCAGACAGGGAACTTTCCTCATAGAGATTAATTGATTCAATTTATCTCTATGAGTAGATGATGATTGGCCAGGACTGTGTTTGAATCATGCTGGCTCTGCCCCTGATCTGCCTCCTTGTCAGTCTCAGCCAATCTTATGGAGAAGCACTGTGATTGGATCAGGCTATCACTTCTGATGATGTCAGCAGACTGCTTGTTTTTCTGAGGCAGACAGGGCAGAGTCAGCAGCTTCAGGCTTGAATACAATAAGATTTGTATTATATTTATGGAGGAGTGAGGGGCCCAGGGGGCCTAGATGGT